TTGGTAGCCTTGGGACACTCACTTAGGCTTAACAACCTAATTACTAGACTCAACAAAAGAAACCTTTGCCCCTGTTGCTAGACTAGAAGCCATAAGAGTGCTCTTAGCTTTTGCTTGCTTCAAGAACTTTAAGTTATATCAAATGGATGTAAAGAGTGCTTTTTTGAACGGGGTAATTAAGGAAGATGTTTACGTTGAGCAACCCCCCGGATTTGAAAGCTCACAATTTCCAAACCATGTATACAAATTAAAAAAGGCACTATATGGATTAAAGCAAGCACCTAGAGCATGGTACGAAAGACTTAGCTCATTTCTTTTGGATAGAGGATTTGAAAAGGGTAGTGTAGATACTACACTCTTTTTACAAAAGGTCAAAGAAGAAATTCTCATTGTTCAGATATACGTGGATGACATTTTATTTGGATCTTCAGATAAAATGTTATGCGATGAATTTTCAAAAATAATGAGTAATGAGTTTGAAATGAGCATGATGGGAGAACTTAATTACTTTCTTGGCTTTAGTGTAAAATAAATGGATAATGGAACTTTTCTTAGCCAATCAAAGTATATTAAGGATATTTTAAAGAAATATGAAATGGATAGTGCAAAACCCATGAACACCCCAATGAGTTCGACAATCCAATTAGATAAAGATCATAGTGGAAAATCAGTAGATCAAAAAAAATATAGAGGAATGATTGGATCCCTTCTTTACCTGACTGCTAGTAGACCGGACATAATGTTTAGTGTATGCCTTTGTGCCCGTTTCCAAGCCAATCCTAAAGAGTCTCACTTAACTGCTGTCAAAAGAATTCTTAGATATCTACTAGGAACCCCAAACTTAGGAATTTGGTATCCTAGGCATAACACTACTTCTTTTGAAATCCTAGGGTACTCAGATTCTGACTTTGCAGGATGTAGGATAGATAGAAAGAGCACCTCTGGTACCTGCCAATTCATCGGACAATCATTAGTTTCTTGGTCCAGTAGGAAGCAAAACTCAGTAGCACTTTCCACAGCCGAGGCAGAATATATCGCAGTAGGAAGTTGTGTTGCACATGTACTATGGTTAAAACAATAAATTCTTGATCTTGGACTACCTGTTGGAACCATCTCGATCATCTGTGACAACACAAGTGCAATTTGTATCTCTAAGAACCCAATTCAACACTCTCGAACGAAACACATAGACATTAGACACCATTTCATTAGAGATCACGTCGCTAAGGCAGATATAGAATTACATCACATCGCTACAGGAGATCAATTAGAAGACATATTCACAAAACCTCTAGCTTTCGACACCTTTAGCACCTCAAGGACTAGATTAGGTGTCATAGATATAACTACATAAAAAAAAAATAAAAACAAAATTTTTTTTAGGGCTGCTTCTGATCATCACACACTCACCACACCAAAACTCTGCATTGATTGTTCATCGTATTGTACGATACACATATCATACCGTATAATATATGTCAATCTACATAACATCCACCAACAAGCAGATTTCGGCTCTGTTGATCGTACTGTACAACCTACATCGTACTGTACGATATTCATCCGACATTATTGCCTACCATATTGTGCGATATATCTTCTTCGTACGATACGATACACGTCAGCAACGGATTGGGACAAATTAAATTTGGGTGGTACGATATTATTGAGTATCGTAATGTACCATACATACCTTTTCATACGGTACGATACACATCAGCACAAGGGACAAATATGAGTTAATGCTGTTTGGTATGATATTTATTATGTATCGTACTGTACGATACACCTGTTCGTACAGTACGAAACTTTTGGTCAAAAGTTGTACTGAGGGCCTCGGGACGATCGAAATTTGCCTGATTGTACTATACGATACTTATCATACTGTACGGTTTGACTTCCTTTTCCCGAAATGATCAGTCAGGATATTGAATTGCTATCGTACTGTACGATCCGAGATCGTACTGTACGATTGTCAAAATTTTCTATAAGTACCCTTTCCTAAGCTGTTCCTTTCACTCAAATCTCTCCTCACTCACTCCTTCACTTAGTTTCGTGCCCTCTTGCAATGTCTAAACGAGGTCGGATGACTGCTGAAAGCTCATCCTCGTCTAGTTGCCAACCTACTCGTTTTCTGAATACTAAAAATGAGGAAGCCTACCACCAATATAAAGCCTGCAAAATTTCTCCTTCAAAAATGCTTAATCAGGATGCTCTTAATTTCGAGGTAATGGGCCTCTTTTCTTCCACCACCTTCCAATTCCTACTCACCCTGGCATTTCCCTACAATTCTGAACTTCTCTTCAAATTTCTCGCTAACCTCACCTACACCATCAACAACACCACCTTTCACTCTTTTGTTTGTGGCCGTAACATTGAGATCACTAGAGCCGACATTGCCCAATATATTGGGATGTCCACTGAAGGACCTATGGTTTGCTCATTTCTTACCGAAGAATTCGATTAGAGCGATGTTAATAGAGTCCTTAGGAATGCTACTTTCCATCAACACCAACCTCTCGTTCAATCCTTAACTCGAAATACCCGAATAATTCAACATGTCCTTCGAACCTCAATAATACCCAAAGGTGGTGACCGTATCAATCTGACCCCGACCTTATCCGTTGCTACCTATCTTATTATGTCTAACATAAAGTTTGATGAGGTTGATTTAATTAGCAACTACATTCGCCATATGACTTTTGTTCGTCTACCTACCACCCGACAGAAACAGAATCTAGCTCTTGGTCACCTAATAGGATATATCCTCCACAATAAATATCAATTATCCTACCCTGGTGAACCCGACATTCTTCCTATTTTTTATACGGATGCTTCCTTCCTTATTCTCTTTCATCGGGGACACGAGCCTGAAGAACCAGTCTTTGATGAAGAAGAAGGAGAACATGCCCCAGCAGCAGATCCAGCTCGACCACGACGCCATGCCGCACCCCGAGCACCTGCACCAGCACACCCTAACGATGATTTGGTCGCACTCTTCGACCAGCTGCAGACTCATCTTGACATGCATATTCAAGAACAACATCAGCAACACGAGACATATATGAAATGGTTTGGAGAACATTTTACTGCAATCGATCACCGCTTCGACGCTCTCTTTCAATATTTTCAACCAAATCCACCTCCACCACCAACTGATCAGGATCCGTCTGCGTAGATTATTTGTGTTTGCATTGTAGTTTCTTTCTTTTGCTTTTTTGCTTTAGTTGCTCCTCCTTTTTGTGCTGCCAAAAGGGGGAGAAGTTTGTTGTACTTATTGTTGTGCTTGTTATCTAAATACATTCCTCTTTTGTTTTGTACTTGCTTTTGGTATCTTTTTTTCTTGTGTTTAAGTGAATATATATATATATATATATATATATATAGTGCAACAAAGAAAAGAAGAAATTATAGCATGCTAATCAGAAAATAGAATGTATTGAATGTCTTGGTAAAACAACCACGTAATAACAAAACAGTTATGATATTAAAAACGGTCAGATCTTGCCAAAGGAAGCATTAAGATATAGAGTTATACCCAGCTAGTAAGCTCTTTAACAACAAGTTTGCAAACATCTCGTATAGCAGCAAGAATTGCTAGGTAAGCGCCAACATAAGTAGCATTTGATGAGCTCTCGTACAAACTTTTGAATACCTGCCCAACATTATCAGCATCACAAAGAAGAAGAATATAAATATATTTTATGCCACTGATTTTCCACTTAAGATGATACAAAGATATGGCATACCTTTTGTGCAACAGCCAAGGCGGCCTCATCTTTGCTAACACACCTTAGTAATATATCAGGAACCTCAGCAATAACTCCCTAAATTATTTTAAACAAATGAATTGGATCAAGTTAGAATAACATTGAAGCACAAACACTGCTATCATAAACCATGAAAATTTGACCCATAAATGCGGAAGTCATAAACCTGAATATCTGCTTCTCGGAAATCCTTTGCAACTAAAACATCCAACTAAATAATAAAGACATCCAAAGTTAGAAAACTAAAAAAACTATAGCTTAAAAAATAAATAATAAATATGAAGCTTATAATATTTGCAAGATAAAAACTACTTTTGAAATCAGAGGTTTTTGGAGCCCGTTTTAGGTGTTAATCTCGTCCTTTTTCAGTAAGATTTACAGAGGAGGGAGAACGTGGTTAGAGAGGGATTCCAAGGGAGAGAGCTCTAGAGAAGTTCTTTAGGGTTGAGAGAGGAAGGAGAAGGTGAGCGTTGTGAGGGAGAAGAGGTGTGAGGGAGATCACACGGTTGCTCCGAACTTGCTGCATCTTGCTTCTCCTCTGGCCCTAGAAGAATTTGAGGGAGGATCTTCAAGGGAAAGGCTCATCTACATCCGTGACCTTGAGGTTCTCTGCCTTCTCCAGGAGGGAGAAAAACGAGAAGGTTCTCTGCCATCGCCAGGAGGACGAAAATAGAGTTTGACACTCCGCCACGTCGGGTTGGTGAAGGGAGGTTTGTAAAGGCTTCTCCGCCTTGCCGAGGGGGGCAAAAGGAGAACTATTTTTGGTAGTGAAAATCCCAGAGCGGAGGACTCCGGGGAGTGGACGTAGGTCATATTTTGACCGAACCACTATAAAAACCGTTGGTGTGTTTTTTCCTTATCGTCATTTACTTTTACTTGTATTTAATTTTCATAATTATTGCGTGGTGAAGTTTGAGGAAGAAAATTTATTTAAGTTTTTTTTTTTTGTAAAATTTCAAAAATAATAAAAAGATTAGAACTCATGTTTAGGATTACTTTTTATTGAGAAAAAGTTTTTCACAATTCACCCCCATCTTGTCATTTAGTAATTTCAAGGAAAATAGGTAAAGTCCTCTTTTAGTCTAATATGGATCTTAGAACTAGTAACCATTGGAGATTTTACATTTGGATCTTTTTGGACCAGTTGGAACTGTAAGTCTATGAGGGAAGGTATACGGATTTGTAATTATGGATCATTTCTCGAGATTCACATGGATTAGATTTTTATATCGTAAGAGTGAATCATTTGATGAATTTAGAAATTTTTTGACTTGGATTCAAAGGAAACTAGGATGTGAGATTTTGATAATTCAAAGTGATCATGAAGGAGAACTTGAAAATAAAAAATTTGAGAATTTTTGTAAGGAGAAAAGGATTGATCACAATTTTTCTGCACCTAGAACCCCTCTGCGGAATGGGATAGACAAAAGAAAAAATAGAATATTAATAGAAGTTGCTCGAGCCATGTTGGCAGAATATTCACTTTCTAAATATTTTTGGGCTGATGCGATTAGCAAAGCATGTTATATTCTGAATAGGGTGAATGTTAGATCAAACTAGAATAAAATACCTTATGAGTTACTAAAGGGGAGATCACCTAATTTGTCACATTTGCATATTTTTGGATGTAAGGTGTTCATTCATAACAATGAAAAATCTACCTTAGGAAAATTTGATCCAAAATTAGATGAAGGAATTTTTATAGGATACTCAAGTGTTGGAAAACCTTTTAGAGTATTCAATAAAAGAATTTTAGTAATTGAGGAGACTACACATATTGTATTTAATGAATTTGGAATTTTGGAAGAGCCGATTATTGAAGATGATAAGATAATGATTGAGTCCCAAAAGATTGAGAAAATAAATTTGGATGAAAATTTGGAGATAGAAATTTTGATGCCTAGAGATTTGAGATTTTCTAAAAACCACCCAAAGGAATTGATCCTAGGTGAACCTAGTGAGGGTTTTAGGACTAAGTATGGTCTAAACAAAGAAGTCAATTATTTAGCCTTTATTTCAATGATAAAACCCACAAATATTGATCAAGCACTTTTAGATGAATTTTGGATATTGGCTATGCAAAGAGAATTAAATCAAATTGTAAGAAATAAAGTTTAGGAATTAACTACAAGGCCAAAGAATCAAAATATAGTTGGAACTAAGTGGGTATTCAAGAACAAAATGAATGACTCAGGAGTAGTCATTAAAAATTAGGCTAGATTAATGGTTAAGGGGTATAATTAGATTGAAGGAATTGATTTTGAGGAAACTTTTTCCCCTGTAGCTAGACTTGAAGCAATTAGGATTTTATTAGCCTTTGCATATTTATGAGGTTTAAATTGTATCACATGGATGTTAAAAGTGTCTTTTTAAATAAGGTGATTTAAGAGGATGTTTATGTGGAATAACCTCCAGGCTTTAAAAATTCTAAACATCCAAATTATGTTTTCAAGTTAAAAAATGCATTATATAAATTGAAACAGGCACGTAGGGCTTAGTATGAGAGGTTGAGCACCTTCCTACTTGAGGGATCTTTTGAAAAAAGTAGTGTGGACACAACTCTCTTTCTAAAGAAATTGGGAGAAGATATACTCATTATACAAATTTATGTTGATGATATCATCTTTGGAACTACAAATAAAAATTTTTGTGATGATTTTTCTAAAATAATGAGTAGTGAATTTGAGATGATCTAATGGGAGATTTGAGTTACTTTCTATGTTTTAGCATTAAGCAAATTGAGGAGGGTACATTTCTTAGTCAGTAAAAGCATGTTAAGGATATCCATAAAAAGTATGAAATAGACAATGCTAAACATGTTAGTACACCTTTGAGTTCCTCTGTTCAGTTGGATAAGGACCATAAGGGAAAATCTGTTGATCAAAAGAAATTTAGAGGAATTATTGGATCTTTACTTTACTTGACAGCTAGCCAACCTGATATCATTTTAGTATTTGTTTATGTGCTAGATTTCAATCAGATTCAAAAGAATCACATTTGACAGCAGTAAAAAGGATTTTGAGATATCTCTATGGAACTCAAAACTTAGGGATTTGGTATCCTAAGTTTAGCTCTTCATTTGAAATAATTAGATGTTCAGATTCGAACTTTGCAGGTTGTAGGGTTGCTAGAAAGAATACTTCTGGAATATATCAATTTATTAGAAATTCTTTAGTTTCTTAGTCCAGTAGAAAATAGAATTCCGTAGCCCTATCTACCGCTGAAGCTGAATACATTACATTATGAAGCTATGCGGCATAAGTACTTTGATTAAAATAACAGTTAATTGATTTAGGATTCATAATAAGCATAATTTCCATTTATTGTGATAACACTAGTGCAATTTGTATCTCTTAAAATCCTATTTAACATTCATGGACCAAACATATGGAAATCATTCATCATTTCATAAGGGATCATGTATCAAAAGGGGAAATTGAACTTAATCATGTTTCAACAGAAAATCAACTTGCAGACATTTTTACTAAACTATTAGCCTTTAATACTTTCAATACATTAAGAACAAGGCTTGGTGTGATTTGAAAGTTCGTTAGGGATGTTAAGCCCTATAAAACTGGCCCAAGCTAACCAAGAGGGGGGTGAATTGGTATTTTAAAAATTCTTTTCACAAAGAAGTAAAAATCTTATAAACTAAAATCACACCACAAGAAAAATAGCGCAGAAATTTAAAGTGCGGAAGTAAGAAATAAGAACACATAAATTTATAGTGGTTTGGTCAACTCGACCTACGTCCACTCCCCGGAGGAACCCTCCGAGTATTGCACTACAATCGTGACTCTCATTTAGCCTCCACAGCTAGGCGGAGAAGCCTTTACAAAGAACATCCTTTTTGCCACCCCGACAAGGCAGAGTACCTATCTCCTTTTGCTTCCTCCTGAAGCTGGCAGAGAACCACAATTAGATGCTGAATCCTTACCTCTACCGACCCTTCCACAGATGAGAAATTCTAGATGAAGAAGAAGCAGAGCGATCCTTGAAGCAACCCTTGTGAATCCCCTCACAAGCTCCCCCTCACAAGATCCTCTCTCCCTCTCTTTCTCTCCTCAAGGTCTTCTCAGGTCAAGGCAGCAGCAAAAGATTGCTCAAAACGTTGAACAAGAGCTCTTAAATAGAAGAGCTTCAAAGGAGCTCATTAATTACAAGTTACCGACAATATCGTCTAGGCCGATATGGACATCGTACTGGCCGATCAGTACAAATCTCAGAAGATTGGCCAGAGCATCGCCCTGAATGTAAGCTGGAAGATTTAAAATTGTCTTGATCGTCCTAGACGATCTCACGATCGTCCCGGCCGATCAGTAAAAATCAGAGGAAAGTCGTCCATAGCATCGCCCTGAATTCAACTTGTCAGATATTTATCGTCTAGGAGTAACTAAGGTTTTTGAATAGATTGGCCCGGCCGATCCTGAGATCGTCCAGGACGATATGATCATATCAATCATCTTTAATTAATTCATTGATTTGTCTGATCAATTAAGGCATAATTGTAAAATATTTTCCAGGCCGATCTAAGATCGTCCTGGCCGATTACCAAAAATACAGAATACCTTAATTATTTATGGCGGCAAATTCTTTCTGTTTTGAGCTTATCATCCTGGCTGATACACATATCGACCAGTCTGATCTGTTAATGATGGCTGCCTTATTTAAGAATCTCTGATTAGAATTTCTGTTTTAAGCCAGATCGTCCAGGACGATGTAAATATCGTCCTGGCCGATTTGAGTAAAAATAGAATTTCTAAGTCTCTCAAGTGTGTGTGTGTGTGTGTAGGGTTACTTAGCATCAATCTCTTTGAACATTACAAATAAACTCAAGAAGAGAAAAAGCAAAGTACAGACTGACACAATCTTAACCTACGCAATCTTGAACTGGCTTCGTTTGTTCGTCCGATCTTCGATTCCTGAAAAGTTAGAAGTAACATGTAGTCCAAGAGAATAAGTAGTGTTTGTCAATCATCAAAACATAAGTCATAAAAATAGATTTGTAACATGATTGACTTGAATGCTTAATTAAATGTTTCTGCAACATTGATGTGTGTTTTGTTAGAGTGTTTTCTAGTTTTGTGATTTTCTATATGTGTTTTTCTTTAGTTTTTGAGCTTGTTTTGTTTTTGTTATCCTTGTTTGTTCATTTAGGGTGATTTTCAAAACATTTTCACATTTAAAATCATGATTTTCATGCATTATTTTAACTTTCTAAAATATGAATTTCATCTTTATGAAATTAATTTCGCACTGGAC